AGAGGGGTTAGTGGAACCCAGGCATGGGCAGAGATCCTCTGTGTGTAGCCAAAATAGTTTTATCGACCAGGCCCAATGGATGGGATTATCACTGCATGGAGCTGTAGTGAGTGATTTAAAACAGTATTGTTATTAAAAGCCATAGCAGGAATTTGGCTGTGACCTAAGGAAAAGAAACCAACTTCAATTCCTCCAGTCAACATCAGTATAAATTCAGGATTCCTGAACTGAAGCCATTGACTAATCCTGGATACGATTTGCCAGCAAACCTGGAGAGAATTCAGCCATTTGGTTTTATGGGTTCCTATTTTCATGTACTACAGAGAGATGCTTGTCATGTTTATTTACACGGCAGCACCAATGGGGCGGTGGCCAGAGCCCTGCCATCCACCTCACCAACTGTGTGCCATCGCAGCAGAAAGCTCATCGCACCACCCTGCCGAGGTGCTCCTCACCGGAGGAAAGTGTAAGGGAGTGTTTGCAACTTCGTGCGTGGAATTAATAACTTTGTGGGCCTCTCAGACAAATGGGAGTTAAATAGATGTCTTTGGAAGAGCGTGTAGAGAGCGTGGTAATGGATGCGAGAGGCCAGGCTGCACCTTGTGTCTCCCAGCTCCAACGCCTTGTCCTTCCTTCCCGTCCCCTTCAGACCTAAGGCTCTTTGGCACATTCCTTCAAAGGCCTTGCAAGAAGAGATGTAGGAAGAAATAAAGCAGAGAACCTCCTTGGGCAAGCAGTTGTTTCATGCGCAGTGTTATTTACTCTACAAATCATCTGAACGATGAGCAGACTTCATAAAACATAATAAACAAGGGATCTGGAGGGATAGGCGAGCTGCAGCCGCACAAGGGTGGGCTGATGCAGAGCAGAACCGCAGCAAACTGTCCACCCGAACCCATGAGGAGGGCCAGAGAAGTTCCCAGTGTTCTTCCCGAGAAGCTGCCCTATCAAATGAGCAACCTGGAGCTGATGGAGCTGTGACAGTTTATGGAGGCGCAGAGCCTGCTGCCATGTGTTTTAATAAATGGGTTCACACCAGCTGTCCGTGCAAATAAAACATTAGCATGTGTCAGACACTATCTACCCAGGCACTTGCCATAACTTAGGGGACATTTTGCAGCAGAGCCATCCAAGCGTAGATCGTGCCATGCCAGCAGGAAAACACGCTCCTCTCTCTCCCGTGAATTATGGGGTGCCAGAGAGCTGCCCACACTCAGGCTCCTCTCGCACGTGTGCCCAATCCAAGCTCAGTTAAAATCCTGGGATTTTAGGTCAAGGAGTTGCCTGACTCTGTGTGCTGGGACTGATGGTGCACCAGGATTGTAGGTATTTCTTTCAACTTTCCTTCTTTCCCCAGGTTCACTAAGGACCTCTCCAGAAAAGAGGTAGGAAGGTAAGAAAGTCAGAAGTGATAAAGGAAAATCGATTTGCACAGCCATCTGGCTGTCAAAATTCAGATCGTTTTGAAAAAAAAAAAAAAAAAAAAAAAAAAAAAGGCTGAGAGTGTATGATGCTAATGGCACGCAGGGCTGCACGTGGTGGGATGGGACATGAAGCGGGCTCCTGTTTGGGGGGAGCTGGCCCCAGAGCCAACAGCAAGGTGTGAAGTAGCCAAACCCACATGAACCAACCCACAAGTGAACAGGGGAAACATCTCATTCTGCCTTTGTGCTCTCTTATCTGTTGCTGCCACAATGAGTAGCTTTTAAAACCTCCTCCAGCTGAAGTGGCATGAAAACATGAATTTACTTGTATGGGGATGGCTTTAAGAGGTGCTTAATTTATATGGTAAAAAAATCCCTAAAATTGGCTGCAGTGTGTTTTAGACAATGTCTGCCAGTTAAAGTGTTAACTAGACCTAAATAATGTGGCTATAATGGACTTATTCCTGCTACCAGATCCCATGCTAATGCCAATATTCAAACCAGACGTCCCTGATTGACAGAAGTAACAGGCAAGCCTGGCAGTGAAGAATACATAACAAATCAAATTCACAGGCTGATTTAAGCGGCTGCAAGGAGAGTGATAAACAAAGCTGGGAAATAAGACTGTTCTAAAGAATAAAGTATCAGAGGGCACGCAGAGTTTACATCTCCATGGCATGAAGCAAGATGCGGGGTGCCTGGCCATACTGACACACAGTGACATCCCGCAAAACATCTCACTTATTGCTCTTTCTGCTTATCTTTGTGTGCTGCACTGAGCAATCTCTAATTACTAGAAGAATAACAGTAATTACTTCTTATAGTTGTGGAGCTTAAGTGGTACAAGTTAGGTAATATGAGCGAGAATCAAATATGCCGAGTGTTTGAATAGTTACTTTTATTTTTCTTTTTATAAGGAAACTTGACTGTTTACACACAGTCTAGTTTCACTCAGAAATGTCCATTAAAACTTAAATAGTCAGAGCAAATAGTGAGGGACATTTGCCAAAAGAGAGATGTTAAATTAATATGCCCAAATATTCATCCCAGGAAGCTTGTTCCAGTCAAGGGAGGAGCGTTCTCCTGCCCTGATCCCAGCAGAACCAGAGCTCACACTGGGCTCCCAGTCTATAAATGGTTACAATTGCTCTGCTCTGGGACTGGCTTTCAATCAATCAACAAATAAAACCTCTTGGAAAACTAATGGCTTCCAAAAAAAATCCCGATTTGCTTTAGACAGTTTGCCAAACAGGAAGAGGAGTGAAATATGTTGAGTGATTTATTACAAGTGATTTGCCAGCTAGAGCAAGTGTATCATTGCTCTGCTTAATTTAAAGTCGGAAAATGAATGCAAAGAGATGCAAAGACCTGCAGCTTGAATCCCTTGCAGAAGACCAGGGCTCCAGATTTCCGACCAGCGAGACCTTTGCGCATCACTCACCACATTACCACTGACCTTTCTTTCATAGGTGTTCCATTATTTGTCTTTTTTTAAACCTCTGCACAGCTTACGACGTGAGAATGCCCACTCACATGCTGTGCAATGGTTTCCATTAACGCACATAAAACCTGACTTGCAGCTGCTTTGCTTATTCACTCTGGAGCCTTCCCTGGTCCAGGGCCCTGCATCACGCTGTGTGCTGCTTCCCTGAGCTCGGAGGAATGGAGTGAAGGCATTAAACAACCTTCCTATCTTAGCAAATCTACTTTTGTAGCAAGATCCCCTGAGAAGGAACAGTATGGTAATGTTTGTTAGTTTGTTTTGATTTGTTTTGTCTTTGGTCGTTTTGTCCTTTTTTTTTTTCTCCACGCTCCCCCCCCACCCCAACAGCTGCTTCTCTCTTTTTGCTTTTAAATTGATTCACTAGTGAAATAAAAAAAAACAAAACAAAACATGAGGAAAAGCCCACAGGTGAACTTCACATACTGTGCATTTATGTCTGTCTACTTCTTACTTGGCTAACAGGATAAGGTACAGCCTGAAGAATAGCAAGACTACAAAATATGTTGAGAATTGTTTAAACTGTAATCTCCAAAGACACGGCTAGGAAATAATCCTCAGTTTTTAGCCCTATCGTGGTAACAATGAGCATCACTTTGGTCCTAAAAGGAAGATGACTGGAAATAATGCATTTCAGCCACACTGGTCTCAAATCAGATAGCTCACATCTCCTTAGAGAGTAGAGAATTTGGTTGAAGTACACTGGACTGCCACTGACAAAACCTACAAAGTACCTACAGGAGAAATACAGGCCCCACCATCTCAAGACGAAAGTCAGGTATCAAGACAAAATGCAGAGGGAATCCAGGGCTTCTGTGGGGACTGAATTTTGGTTTACTGGAGCAGTACAGGGAGAAACTTGGAGAGACATGTCTAAACATCTACAGGCTCTGGGCTTAAATCTCACTGCACGTACCCTCACTTGCTTTTAGTGGGAGGAATGGTTCTGATTTGTTTCCAGTTAAGTTCCCTCCCTTTAACCGTGGGAACACCTCAAAGACTTTAGTAGACATGCAGTTTTAAATTCTAATTGGTTGCTGATTAAACCCACCTGAAATTCATGTTCCAAATAAAAGATTGAGAAGCTATCACAGGTGAGCCTGGCAGCAAAGGGACTATGGAGATTGGTGTCTTGCTCTTTCTGGCTTTCCTTCCATGTCTCTTATATTTTTCAAGCCTAATGCTCCAGTAAACAAATGCCTTAACCCCTCGAAGCACTGGAGTGCAGCAAGTGTTGATGCTGAAATCCTTTCCCTACATGGGCGCGTTAGATCAAGCAGTGCGTGGAGACCAGCAAAGCCCTTCTGAAGTCAGGAGGGGTCTTCTAGTTAAACCAACTATGGAGTTCCCCAAAACAGCAAAAATACCAGCCTCTGGCTCTGAAGATGTAGTTGCTTTTCGGATGCCTATGCTACACCTTGTTCCCAAAACTTTCTGAAATTAGGTTCTGCCACTACACAGAGGAAATGGTCTCTGGATCAAGCCAGGAAACTGGGAGAGAGGGAGAGATGGTTTTATTTCCCTTGACCTTCCTGGCTGCTTTCCAGCAGAAGGAAAGGAGACGCAGAGAAAGGGTGGAGATTTGTGGGGTTTCTGACAGCATTTGGGGAGGACTCAAGAATCTCCGGTCTGAGACAGCAGCAGCATGGCAGAGCAGGGCCCGGCTGCCCTGGGCTCTGCGGCACACGGGGCTCCCAGTCTGGGCTCCAGCCACCGGGCATTGGCCGTGCTGGGAGAGGAGCTCTGGGGGGGGCTTGCACCAGCCTGGGGCCAGAATAACAGGATTTACACCAGTGCAGGGTCTCAACCTGGTGCTGTGGAGCAGGAAGGGGGGTGGAGTGGGGTACACCAAGCGGAGCCGAGAGACACACACCCCCCACCCCCAAATCCCTCCTGCCTGCACCCCAGACCGGGCCACCCTATCAGGGCTGCTTGGGACACCCCCTTTCCCGAGCCAGTGCCCCCCCCCCGCCTCCCCCTCCCTCTCCTGCACTGCCTGTCTCTGCAAAGTTTGGCCACTTGAGCCCCGGGAAGGAGGCGGCTGCCCAGGGAGCCCTGGCCGCCGGGATCCTCACCTGGATGACCGTCTTCAGCGTGGAGGCATCCACGATGGTGGTGCAGATGAGGGAGTCGGGATTTTGGTCCTTGCCGTAGATCTCCCCCATGGTGAAGATCATGGGGATGGCGAGGAGGAAGGAGGCGATCCAGATGCAGCTGATGAACTTCTTGGTGCGGCTGCGGGACATGATGCTCTTGGCTTTGAAGGGGTGGCAGATGGCCATGTAGCGCTCCACGCTGAGGCTGGCGATGTTGAGCGCTGTGGCGTAGGTGCAGGCGTCCCGGAGGAAGTAGTAGCCCTTGCAAACGGCCCCCCCGAAAGCCCAGGGGTGGTGGACCCAGATGAAGTTGTAGAGCTCGATGGGCATGCAGAGGAGGAAGATGAGGAGGTCGGAGAAGGCGAGGCTGGCCAGGTGGTAGTGCACGGTGCTCTGCAGGTTCTGCAACGACTTCTTGCGCACCAGCGTGTACGCCGTGATGGAGTTGCCCACAGTGCCCACCAAGAAAAGAGCCAAGTAGATGACGGTCACCATCACTTTGGAGTAGATATCGGTGTTGACGTCCAGGTCTTCCTCGTCGGGCCCTTTGGGGAGCGGGTCGGAGCGGTTGGAGCCGTTGGCATAGCCGCTGGGGTGCAGGTGGAGGGGATCGCCCGGCACGGCCGTGGCCGTGGCCGTGGCCGTGATATTCAGGTGCATCCCCGGGGCCCCGGGCCGGCCCCGACGTGCCGCTACCCCCGGCGTGGAAACTTGGCTCGTTTTAATGCAGCGGGGAGGAGGCGCCTGCCGCTCCCGGGCTGCCGCGCGTGTGCGTGTGCGAGACACACACACACACACACTCACTCCCCCCCCCCCCCCCCCCCCCGCCGCCCCGGAGCTGCCTCGGCTCTGAGCAGCCCGCAGCTCCGGCTCTCTCCTCCTTCCAGCTCTCCCCGGCTCCCAGATGTGCCTTGGCAGGGCAGGAGCCTCCCTGCACGCACCCACTCCCACCCACCCGCACCCACAACCGCGCAGGGACACGCCGCTCCGCTTGCGACCGCGCAGCCCCCGCCGGCGCTGGCCCTGCCTTCCCCCAGCCCCCCCCCCCCCCCCCGGGGGACGGCGGGGGGGCGGCCCCTCGGCTCGGCCCCCTCCCCGCTCTCCGCCGCCGGGGTGGGTTTTGTAACCCCCAGTTCGGTCCCCAAACCCCTCCCCGGGGAGAGGAGGGAGGGAGGGAGGGCGTCCCGGGCTGGGCGGCAGAGCCCCTCCCATTGGGGGATACCCCCCCCCCCCCCCCTCCACCTTTCCCATCCCTCTCAAAGTCGGACCCAGAGGCACGGCTGAAAGCTGAGGGCTGGTAAGAGGCTGGTAGGGGGGTCCAAGCACTGTTCCCCCCCACCTCCCTGCCCCGGGGAGAAGAGAGGCACCAGGGATGCTCGGTCACCCTTGGACAGCCGTATGACCCGCTGGTCCCCAAATACCCACTCGCCTGCCGCTGCTGCTAGGAGAAATGCATTTGAAGGAGGGGAAAAAACACCTAAAAATGTCTACCTCTGCCCTGATGCGCCTGGGGCACCCTCAGCACCGTGGCACAGAATCGACAGCGGTGAGCTGCTTTGCTTTGATCCCCATCAGTGAATTTTCCCTTATCCCCACATCCTCAGATCTGGGGATGCGGAATGCCCTCGGATTTGCCCTGTTGCAAGGGCAGGGGCTGCGGGTGTGCCACAGTGATGCTGAGAGTGACAAGTCCCCCGGATGAAAGAGCCCCCCGAGGTTAAGCGGTGTGTGGTGGGGTTACCTTCTCAGGCTCAGGGCACCAAGCCAGCCAGCTGTCCCATGTAACTCCAGTGAGCTGTTCATCCACTCAGTTGTCTTCATGATAAAATCTTTACAAATGCATAGAGGAGAACTAGGAAAATCCTATTCAGGGAATCATTGGTTTATCCAAAGACAGCCATAATTTGTCCCATTCATTAGCAGATGTTGGGTACCTGGTTCCCAACAGCCAGTGGGCTCTGTGTTCACTGAGGTCCTGCAGACTGCTTATCTATCGGATGCAAGATGTCTAATCCTGCAGTCAGTCAAATCATCTCCTCATGCAAAACAATGAACTTTCCACAGCCGTCCACCGAGAGTCAATACTCACCCAAAGTTTCCTCCTGTTAAATCCATCCGATAGGATCACCATGGAAGAATAACCAAAATCAGATTTATTTAGTCATATTATTCATACAAATTTGGAGAAAAATGTTTTATGGCACTCATCCCACACTAGTTTAAAGAATGACTAATAATCTCTTAACACCAATGTTCCTTTCATTTAAAAGCTTCTGTTATAAAATATCTATTAGCCAAGAGAAGGTTGTCAGGGTTGGTCTTCCCAGCTGGTCTCACCTATTGTTCCAGGTCCTTGGATGGGTTCTTGGGATGGGTCAAAAATGTTTATCCTGAAGAAGGAAAGTGGAACATGAAACAAGTGGTGGGTTGTACTGATGTCTGAAGGAGAGTAGCAGCTGGGATGCAATCCTTCTCCTGGGTGCCCAGTGTTCCTATTCCTCAACCCCCAAGCTGGGGGGAGCTTATGTCCTCGTGGTCCAAGCACAAACCTGTGCTCCTGGACTAAAGCACTTCTCCCACAGAGGCAGCAAGTGAGTTCCTTTGGGATGTTTGTCTATCATGAAGAGTTACTGTCCCTTCCTGGTCCAGTAACTTCATTTTGGACTTGTGGAAAGTAATTGCTATCCCCGCAAGCAAGATACCTACCTGCTGGTCTAATTTTACAGTGTGTATGTGCACGTTTATATCAATAGCTGTCTCTAGAAATGCTCTGGTTTGGATTCTGTTGCCTCATGTTTCGGCACCCTGGCGACGCACAAGCACGGCTGCTAACAAGGAGAGGATTGCATCTCTGCTCGGTCCCAGCAGAGTACTCCATGTGCTGCCTCCTCCACTTTCCCTCCATGCCAAGTACTGGCAGAGAATATAAAGGGATATAGTTAAAAAGTAATTCTAACGACACACGGAAATATCAGCTACCTGGAATCAATGTGGCTGTTGATTTACAATCAACACTTTAACAGGCTGGTGCAGTTTGTACCAGCCAAATCTCTCCTTCTATAAAAGTGCATTAGAGGGGTACCGACCGCCCCACAGATGGGCTGGGTGCTCCCACCAGTAAAGGCCTCAGCAGCATATTTCTACGAACTAATTAACAAATTCCATTAATTCCTTGCCAAGTCTATCTTAGCCACACGTGAAACAATCTCACACCCGCGGGCAGATAGTTCTGCTCTGTTCTGTTTCTCAGAGACCTGGGTTTGAGCAAAGAGCTCATCTGGGATGCAGCCTTGCCATTCCCCATGCAGAAATGTGGGTCACTTCTCATAAAGGAGAAAGTAAAAGAAAGTCTTGTCTCTCTCCATAATGAAAGGGTTCAACCTCTCCTCTCTGTTTTTTAGGAAGCTTTTTGTCCAGCTTTTTGTTCTACCTTCTGTCCTCACATCACTTTTACAGAGCTGGACACCTACTGCTGGTCCACACCTGATTCCCTGCAAACCCTGGCCTTGGAGCAGGCAGAGATTTAGCCCTGCTGAAGGAAAACATCGACCCCATTCCTCCCTTCCTGGGTAGCACATCTAATGCCACACACCTTTGCATTCCCCATTGCTAGTGTGTGGCCTGAGGGGTGTGTGAAGTCCCTTTCCTGGTGTGAGATAATGAAATTAATAACAAAAGTACCTCTTCTTGCCTTCACTTCTGCTCTCTGCAAGTTTTTAATCCATATCCCCCTTCAAGCAAAAACAAAGCTGGAGATGCACTGCTCACTTCTTGTGCACCAAAGCCTCCAACCTAAATCCCCGCTGTTTGTTTCTGAACTAGCCGACCTTTCAGCTAAGCTGGGCTCGTTTTAATATATTTTGTATGTGTGTCTGTGGCTTAAAAAGGAAAAGAAACATGGAAACCAAGAGCTGCCTGATCTCAAATGTTACGGCAAGGCATTTACTTAAAATCTTGCAGGAAAATGTCACCCAAAGACCTCATCTATTAAAACTGCCTGGACTTTGAGCTGGGGGTCCCACAGTGACCAAGATGTGAGGCCCGTAGGTTGCATCACTCTCTTTTATGTTGACCCAAGTGTTTTTCATCTTTGCTTTTTCCAGTTGCAACTGGGGACCACTAGAAATTTTTCATATTAATCCTATTCTTGTCAGATTTTGTTGGGTGGGATTTTCTGAATGGCATGGAAAGCAGCAGAGAGAAAGCTCTGCAAGAGGTGGGTGGTAAGAGACAGCATCAACCTTTTTCCCATTGAGATCTCAGCACCCAGCCCCAAATACATGTTAGAGCAGGTTCCCAAACCGGGTAATGCTGGATTGATTCAAGCCTTTAAAAGGAGTTCCCAGTGGACTCACTATAGACAGGCTCTGCCTAAAAGTCAGAAGTGTCTAAGGTGGGTTAGAGAGGTGAAATCCTGGGGTGTACATGGCTTTTTTAAGGATGCTGTGCTTGAAAAACAAGGTAGTGAGGGAGAAAAGAGTGATAGAGAAAGGGACATATATCAGCTTTGTTGATGACAATATTGACTGTATCACTACTTACAGGCGTGGAAGTGCATCCCTTCCTATGCTCAACATATTGGAAAATAAAGTGCAGCTAGTTTGGATGAGCAATAAAAGATTCCCAACGGCTGGATGTTATTTACTGCCTTTGGCTGAACTGATTTCAGGAGAGTACTTTAAATCAAAACAGTTGATACATGGGATATTTACTGCCTCTGGTTTTCATAGCAGAGGAACCTGCTGAGACTCTGCAGTATGAGCACATTGGTGTGTGGGTTGGCAAAGAGGACAGACCATACTCAGAGCAGAGCAATTATCACATACCCCAGCATTTATATGCCTGGGCAGGTTTAAAAAAAAAAAAAAAAAAAAAAAAAAAAGAAAGGCAAAATGGACTGGGATGTGTGTGAAGATACTGGTAAGAGAAGTACCCTGAAGGAGGATCAATTTCTGGGAAGGGACAGCTAGGAAATGAGGTGTTCAGTCACCTTTTACAGGTCCCATCTTCTGTGCGCTGAGTAGTCAAATTCAGTCCTTTCCTTTGGCAAAACTCCTTTAAAGTTAACAAATGTGCCGGTTGAAAGACGCTGTAATATTTGTCTCAGACAGAGACTAATACATTAATTGGACACACAGAAGAGATATCAACTGCTTTAGTTCAGAGATAAAGTAGTTTTTGGGCCCCCCCAGTTGTTATTGCAACAAGCCCAAATCAGATTCCTCATGGCAATAAATGCGCTTCAGATATGCAATATCAGCATTCAACACATAGGCAGTCGTGCTCACACACTGCACACAGGGTTTCCCTTTGGAAATCCTCTTTTATTCCAGGAACAAATATAAAGAGAAGGGACAGAGGAGTCCAAAGGGAGAGTTAGCACTTGCTGCAGCTGGGACCCTCTGCCACAGCCCCAGGCACGGTGCTGGCACCCTCGGTGAACATGCAGATGGGAGTTACTCTATTTCTAAAGGATTTAATCTGCTTTTGCAGCCCTGGCTCTCCGGAGCCGCCAGCAGCTCTGCCAGTGGTGTTTCCAACAGCTCCACGCAGCGGAGCACAGCCCTCGCTGCCGGGGAATACTCCAGCTCCAGCTCCAGCTCCCAGCTCAGCACCATCCCTCATCCCCATACACGGCACCAACATTTTTCAGAAAATCTCAGGAGGCACAGATTAACCTCATTTTCTCACCCTCCTTCCCCCTCCCCAAATAATTCCTGTTGGTTTTCAAAGTTTCAGCGTGCCTGGCAATTTTGAAATGCAAATGGAAAAGCAGCACAGTAAAAATCCCTGGC